TTGAAGGACAATGGGGCCGTGCGTCGTATCATAGGACATCAGGATGGTGTGTCTATTTGATGTACCTTTTCTCTTGTCACGTTTGTGTACTTAGCTGTTGCAGCATTGTTCCGATACAATGCACCGAAACTTTATTCATACTGTGCAGACCAAGTCGACCAGCTTCTTTCGCACCCGGCGCATGAAGAGCTTGAGCGACCTTTTGCAAACTCTGTCTACACCACCTTCACCGCAAACATGGGACCGAAATCAGCAATGTTCAAGCACGTCGACTCGCAGAACGATGCACATGTCTGGTGTGCCATAACGAATGGTGGACGGTTCGACTTCAAGAAGGGTGGTCATATGGTTCTGTATGATTTGAAGTTGATCATTGAGTTTCCTCCTGGATGTACCGCAATCCTCCCCTCCGCCTCAGTGTATCACGGTAACACCGCCATCGGTCCAGAAGAGAGCCGCTATTCTCTTACCCAATACATCAATGGAGCGGTGTCTCGATGGATCCGGCATGGATTCAGGCCTGCGAGTGCTTTGACCCGTGCCGATCGGGAGCGTCTCGATGGTAGTGCTGAAGATCGATGTGAGACTGTGCTGGGTATGTTCTCGAATGTTGATGAACTTGTGAAGGATCGTGAATGTCTCATGTAGCTTAGATATGCTTTGAAGAATTGTAGTGTTTGCGTGCTGCTTCCAGTATTTACAGTAACCCGTTTATTCTGACTCTCACACCTTTGTTCTGAAATGTGGGCGGCCAGCAGGATGAACCAAGGATGAACAAATGCTGCAAAAAATCAGAAACCAGTGGAAACTCCATTTCTCCGGTGTAGAACTCATGTTTAAGCCGATAACTAGCTTTGGAACACCCCCACTTATCTTCATACATGATTTTAAGCAGCGGTAAGTCATAGCAAGTGCATGCCTGGCTGTTGTGGCACTTCGTCGCGACGCGTTTCCCACGCCAACGTTGACTTTGGACGCCATCGCTACATCTTTGTTCGCATCTCTTTGTTCGTATTTGTTCACTCTGTTCCAAGAACGTCGTGCCTTTGTGAATAGGTACACATATGAGGTATGTCTCTCAATAATATCCATTTGTTCTCGCTTTCAGGATCAGAGCAATTGAGGAAAGGCCTCTCGCTCTGTGCACGCACGACGATATCGCCGTCTGAATTTGCTCTGACACTGAAGCAGTGAGAAGCTTTGCATATGATCGCTAACATAGAGTTCTCCTTATATGCCAGAGAACTCGGCTCGGTACGCCAGTGCATAGCTCGACATATTGAGCCGTAGATTCCTAGGACCCTGCAAGACCTTTCTGCTGGCACGTCTTGAATGGCCCTCACCGTTATATACGAGTCAGTGCAGCCTGCTCAACCGATGTGTTTATGTTTGGGTTATCTGGGTGCGTGTCTTTTTGTTTGAACTTTTGTAAACATTAGCCCCGTCTTCCTGTCGCGCCATGAGCCATAGCGTATGTTGGTGGCGAATTGCAGCTCTCCAAAAATGAGAAACCATGGTCGAGACGATCTGGATATCTGGGGAGATTTTGTGGAAGCTTAGGCTTAGCCCTTCGTCTGTTCTCCGGCCAACATGCACTAGGGAGCTCTGACAATGTCGTGACTGGCAAGCGTCTCAACGCAGTCGTCACCATTTTAGCCAGTCAAGCATATTTTCGCTCTGGTGTCTCGTCGAAAACACATTTTCCCGTTTTCACACCTCTATTTGAAGGATGCTCGCTCCATGTTGCTTACAATATTCATATCTTGTTTGTTCATCCACATGCTCCTCTATTTGTGCGGCACCACGCTCGAATACAACGACCCACGCTGTCAGCCAACACCCGCATCACCGACCACGAATCTTCCTCTTTACATTAAGAAGGGTGTGACATTGTCTAAGACCCAGGCCCACCAACAACTCCCCGTAATTCACCTTGGTGTACCCCACGCCGAGTCCTTACCTCTCGTCAAGGCCTTCCTTTATACCAGCGACACCTCTGAACATGTCTCGTACATGCTCCCCCTCGTCCCCCGTGCCGGTTCTTCATCCAGCGTCACCTCGACCGCAGTGAACCCCGACATGGATTTTGCGACGAAGGTATCTGTGTACCGGGAGTGGAAGCGTGACGTGTCCGATTGTTAGGCGACTGCGATCACAGAGCACCTCCAGCCCTCCTTCATCCTCCAGCACATCGCTCGCGTGTACTCGCTCTACCACAACATTGTCGCTCTCGGCCCATCTGACGAGAGGATCTGGGAGTACATCGACATGTGCTGGGAGAACTTCAGTGTCACCATTGCGAGGGCGAACGGGCGGGAGATCGAGATCGAGTTTGGATACGAGGAATGAAGTCAGTCAGAGTATCAATTCATCGCCATGTACGTCTTCTTCTGTTCATTCCTGTTTACCGGCCTCTCTTCTTCTCGACCTCGTCCCCGCCTGTTGATCTTCGGCATCGCTGCATAGTCTCCTTTTTCACCATCTGCACGTGCCAGTCGTGTTTCTTCTCTCCTCCCCATTTACTCCATTCTCCCTTCCCGTTCCTCGCCCCGACTCTGACCCCCCTCTCCCTCTCCAAATCTAACCCCACATGCCACCTCGCCCCCTCCTCCGTCCACACCACTGTCCCGGATGCTGATGCGAACCCATTAGTACCAGATTCATCGACTTCCACTTCCACGC